TGATTTGTATTAAATACATCTCCATATGGTTCCATCACAAAATATATGTATTGTTAAAATTAAGGAAAAGGATTGCACATGGTTAATGACTATGCTTACATGAGGGCTTGCGCTAGGGAGATCTGTTCTGCTACATCATGTAAGGAGTGACTGCGACTAAACAGCCTGATGGGATTGGTGATGGGCCCTGCCTTGGTGGTGAGGTCTCCACTCAGCCTGACCCCTCTACCACGTACCTTTGTTCCCAGGCCTTGTTCAGCTCTGGAGATCACACTCCTCCTTCGTCTTAGCGTTGTGCAGGGGGCCTTCATCCTGGTACTTTCATAACTCCTTTTGCTCTCATGAAGCATTCAGACTCGAGAGGCTTGCCTTTGCTTGATCTTCAGAAAACCTTCCTCTCACCTCCCCAAATGTCTTTTCCTTCTTAGCTGTGCCATCTCGATGGCTTTTGTCCCAGTGATGCAGTCCTTGGATTCTCTGAGTTTAGAACTCAAAATGACCTCTTAACAGTCACACTCATGAACCAGGTCACAGATTCTTTTTGATACTGCATTACTGGGAAAAGTGGAACCTTTCCCAGCATGAGATGGTCAATGGTTCTTGTGTTCTTGTTTGGAATGAATTCTCACACAGACTCACACAGTAGAGGAGCAGGAGAATCAAGTAACTTCATTAAGGAAAAGAAGAGTACACTCCCTAGAAAGGGGAGTGGGTAGAAACAGCCTAACCAAAAGCTGCTTCTTTTACTCCCAGCTATTGTTGAACAATAACTTTTACTCTTAAGACTATTAAGGAGCTGACTTGGGGTGGACTTTTCCTGGAAATGGGTGGTCTTAGGGCTGGACTCTCATATCAGGCAGAGGAGTTTCAGGCCTTATGTGGTCATACACAGGACTGTCATGGCACCCTGGTGGGTGAGACTTTGTAAAACCACAATGCTAACCATATTATAATGAGTGTGTGATGAGGGTAAAAGTGGGTCATGGTTATCTTAGGTCAACGTTGGCTATTGGTGTGCATACGCCAGGGGATCTCTTAGCTAGTTTCTGTCTTGGTGGTTGGATCTTGACTGCAAACATCCTGGATAAAAGGACTAGACTGCTACAGGTATATTTGATAAGGGTCTAACAGTTAGGTAGGTGTGATTTTTCCTGTAGAGTGGCTGCTTGCTTGCAGGTGTGGTTTTGCAAGGGCTGCTGCAGGTATTAATGAACTTGGAACTTTCCTATAGCTCTGAAGTTTCCCTAGCCTAACCTGCCTACTCTGTCAATACTTCCTTTAAATTCTACACTTCCCTTCTCTCACACACACACACACACACACACACACACACACACACACAAACACACACACCTTCTTTCACTGTTACATTTTCTTTTTTCCCCCCTTTTTTTAACCTTTTAAATTTTTTTATTTTAAAGATGCGGGATACAATTCAGGGTTAGATATACAAATGTTCATTATGCAGGTACCTTTGTTGATGAGGTGTGCCGCACCCCTTCCCTAGGCAGACTCTCACTACTGCCAATCCCGCTTCCCCACCCCTCTCCCAGCAGTTTCCCTCTACTGCCAATCCTTTTCGTATAGTATTACGATAATTGTTCAAGGTCTGCTTATGAGTGAGAACACGTGATACTCAGTTCTTTGTTTCTATGAAGATCAGCTGAGTCACATTTTCTAACAGGCCTCTATTTCCTTCCACTGATACTTTGCACTGCCACATACAGGTTTATATTTTCTCATAAATTCTCTCCTTTTCATGTTGTGCTGAGTGTGAGGAGTCATCTGAGACTCTCTCCTGTCTATCTGACTCCCATCCTGGGATTCCTACTCATGTAGGTGTACAGGGGAAGCAGTTCACACCTGAGAACAGTTTCTACCTTGCCTTAACTGTTGCATTCAGTGACCATACTGCCAAGAAACTCACCTCCCAGGGCCTGCAGGAACCTGCTGCTCTCTCTTCCTCAGTGCTGGGAGAGGAGCATCTTCAGGAGAGCCGACTATAGTATAGTAACCTGCCCTTCACTCTACCCCTGGGGGTAGGTAGATGCTCAGTGGGCACCCCCTCCACCACCTAACAGAAGTCAGAAGACTCTCAGAGAAAGCCTGTGATGGTGAAGGGTGATCCTGGGTCCTGGGACAAGAGCCCATTTTTCATACTCAATGCTTGACAAGTTTAAAGATCTTCCTCGGAAAGCAAAGCTTTGAGGATCCCAAGATCCTCCCTCTTGAGGGTACCAAGTTGAACTGCAGAAGGCACTGATGGTTGGTTCATGGGGCACAAATTCAGTGAGGGGGTGCAGCCTACACCATTGATGGGAGGCTTAGGGGAGACACAGTGAACCCTGCCCTCAAGGTCCCAAAACTCAGAACTGTTTTAAAAGAAACAAGTGAGGCAGGGTAGCTAGCACAGGTTAGACACAGATAGATAAATTTCCCATTGGTAGGTTTTAGGAAGTGTTCAGACATTTTTAAAATTACATTTCACTACAGGTCAAGCTGGCAGCCTACCCTATACTCTCGCCAGGTTGTTTTGTAAACAAGTTACTGTAATCAGCCCTTCATGACCTTCACAACCCAGCCCCCACCAACATGGCAATAGTCACGTGACTGATCCATCCATCTGCCTGCTGTCCATCACCTGAAGTCAGTACCTGTGTATACCTGTCCCCTTTGTGATTATGTGGAGCCGACCACCACCCAAACACCTTAATGACCTGCCCCCATCAAAGGCAAGGTTTAAAAGCCATTCAACTTCAAACAGTAGGTGCCATTGTTTCATTAAACACGGCCACGTCTTTGAACCATGGACCGCCATGTTTTCTTAGCTATGGCCCCTTCCCCTACCTTGGGGAGTTGAATCTCCTCTCTGTCTCTTTCTCTCCCCCTCTCTCTCTTTCATTTACTTTCTAAATAAACTTTGAAAACTTTGCTGGCTGCTCTAAAATTCATTCTAGAAACAAGCTAAAGAATCCATGGGTTTTGCACCACACCCCACCGGCATTACAACTGCCTTGGATTAAAAGCGCTTGCCATCCATTGGTGGGAAGACCGCACAGCCTTGGTGCTCAGCACATGGGGGATGGGAGAGGTGACACCAATGGAGGAAGGGAGGAAGAAAGAGGAGAGGGAAGGAAGGGAAGAGAATACACAGTGTAGTGAAGGTCTGTGTGTGCAGAGGGGAGATGTTCAACCTGCTGCGAGAGTTAAGAATGTAACACCCAGATGAGACAAAAGTTACTGAGCCACACTCAACTCTCCAATGGGATTTCAATTCTATCATTGGACAAGAAGAAGCTTTCTCTTCCTTCTTCCCCTTGGTGAGCAGAAATGGGGTTCTGAGTTATTAGAAGAGATTAAAAACCGTTCTGTTTGCACCTCGTGGAGCTGAGGTTTCTCCATCCAATCAACAAACATGAGAGCTCAAGCTCTCTGAGTGGGAATCTCGGGCACAGAGATTTTTTCTTTACCTATTCTTCCTCTTGGCACCTGCCCCTCTGCCCCTACACAATGAAGATGGTGGACATTAAAAAAGACTGGGAAGCCGGGCTCGGTGGCTCAGCCTGTAATCCCGCGCCTTTGGGAGGCTGAGGTGAGTGGATTGCCTGAGCCCGCGAGTTCGAGACCCACCTGGGCAGCGAGACCTCATCTCTACAATAAATCAAAAAATCAGCCGGGTGTGGTAGCGCATGCCTGTAACTTTGGCTACTCGGAAGGCTGAAGCGGAAGGATTGCCCGAGCCCAGTAGGCTAGGCTGCGGTGGTCGGGAGCGGCCACTGCACTCCAGTCTGGGAGACAGAGTGAGACTCCAACTCAAAAAAAAAAAAAAAACAAAAAACTGGGTAGGTTTTCTAACTTAATGCCAGCATTCAAATTAAACACTGTAATTTTTCATACACCAGTGTTTCTTTCCAGTACTTTTTCATTTAACAGGACAATATCTTAATGAAAAAAAACCCTAACAATAAAGCAACCACTTTTGCAAACTAGTGTCTTGTGTAGTGAGGCTGACACACTGCTTACATATCATGATTTGATAGCCTGATTCTGATGCATCTAGTAAGGATGATGCACTGTTCCTAGCAGGGGACTGATTCGAGCTCTTCTTTGGACTTTATCTTGAGAGGTAGCCTTCTGTGCTCATGCAGAGGCAATCTTTTTCTTGATTTCCAAGATTAACATTGATGTTGGGAATATGTATTAGTATTTGCCTTTATCCAGCAGTATATTATATATCTGTATCGTTTATGTTTCAATTCCTGAATCCAGCAATGACTTATTACTTTTCAAAGTGGTAAACCTCAAGGTACTCTTCTTCAGGGTAACTTCTTTTTAGGCTTTTTTTTTTTTAAATGATCAGTGGTTCTGATCAGGCTCAGATATGTTTAAATTATCAGATACATGTTTCTAGGAGTGTTAAGCTGAGTGTGTGGGGGGAGGGGTTGGGGGTGTGAGAGAGAGATAGAGATATTACATACATCCTCATTGGCATTTCCCATGTGCACCCCCGACAAAAGAAGAGAAAAAGTATTTTTACAGAATGATTGGACAAAATTTGGAATGGAAATGGGAAGAAGAAAGTTTAAAAAAGGATGTGTGTCGGGGTGGGAGGGTGTATGTGGGTGTGCGTGTTTAATAAAGAGATGGCTTGAGATGGATATAGCCAAGTTGTTCTAAGATAGAATTAACTAAGTCACTAAGATGTAAGGCAGTGGAAAATGCCAGTGGAAGCTGAAGAACTGCACTTGGCCAGAAATGGGAAAAACCAGAATGTGGTAAAGCAAGAGCAAACAAACAATACCCAGCACTATCTAGGAGATGGTACTGTGTTCCCAAAGCAGCTTTGTTGTGGTTTAGGACAAGGAGAAAATCATGGGTAGCACACTGGTGTGAAATAGTGATATGCCATTTTTGTACCCCCAAATCCCAGGTTCATTCAGAATTTCATAAAACAAGAACTGTAGAACTAATTTCTTAGTGTAAACTTTGAAATAACTTACATTTTCACCTTTGATTCCAAGGGCTGTAGATTGAGGGGATATTTTTCAATATTATTCTCCACATCCATGGCCAGCTGGTGGCTAGAAACAGAAATAATGTCTCAACATCACTCTGCCCGGAAAGTTAATATGTACAGCAATAATTCTCCTGATTTATATTTATTTGAAAAAGCAGACATAGATTCAGTTTTGTTCATTTTAATTTATTAGGAGTTCTAAAAGTTCTTGTTGATGGATGTTGTATAAATAAGCATATCACAGAAAGAAAATGTTTCTTCACCTTTTACCTGTGTTGTTCTTTTACTGTTCTCAGCTCAGCATTCATAGCTAAGGCATGATAATCATTTCCTCTAAGAGAAAAGGAAAGCAGAATTTTGGACCATTTCAGGGAAAGAAAAAAAAATATGGAAGGGTCATATATCCCATGATACTAGCCAACTGGTAAGTTGCAGAGAAGGCTTCATTCATTCCCAGTGGTGCCACCACCATTGGCTTTTTTCTCCTTTCATTCTGTAAGCTGTTTTAGGGCTCCCACTGTAAACAAAGCATGAAACTCTGAACTGGAGAAAGGTGGAGGACTACAGAGGAATGGTCACTGCTTCCAGTGGGATTTTAAGACTCTCTCACTCGATGCTACAATGATCAAGGAGGGCTTCATGGAGAAGGCAGCACTTGGGCTGGGTTTTGAAGAATGGACAGTAAGTAGTTAAGCTGAGAGTGAAGGGTAATATATACACGAGGAAGACAATAAAACAAAGGAGTAGAGTTGAAATAATTCAAAGGCTATTTTTAGAAAAAAAGAGAGTAATTTGGTGGAAGTGGATTAAAAAAGAGGAAAAGGAAATAAGTTTGGATGAGCAGAAAACTACTAGTTATTGGTCACATAATGTGTAGATACACTTAGACATTTTACACCTAGAATCGTACATAATTCTCACAGTGACCCCCATTGGCTGAGCAGTCCCTTCCCCATTTTAGAGCTGAAAACCTAAAGTTCAGAGAGACTCTGTTAAATTTACTGTCCAGGAGGGACCACATTAAAACTCACGTCTTCTGCACTCTTTACCAGAAGGTACTGGTTGGAGGATTTTAATATCAGAACTATTAGACTTAATCCTACTGACAGCAGTTTTCATAGATAATATATTTTACATCCCATTCCAATACACATGCACATGGTAAGGGGTGTGTGGGTGTGTGTGTGTGTGTGTGTGTGTGTGTGTGTATGAAACAAATTTCAAGAAGTATTATTTCCCCAATTTTATGTAATTTTTAAATTATATTTCAGATTTTTTTAACCCTTTACTCGTTTAGAAAAAGAAGTGCGGCTTACTGCTGCACTCCTTTACTTTTACATAAACATGCTCTTTGACGCTGAAGCAAATCTGACTTGTTTTAAATGTGAAAAAATATATAGAAACTGTTCTTGAAGTTATTTCTAAACAGAACTTGTTTCTAACCCTAACGAGAATTTAAAGAGAAAGAGAGAGAGAGAGGAGAGAGGGAGAGAGAAGATTTACAAGCTATAGTAATTCTCTCTCTCCCGCGTATGCTCTTTCTTTTAATCTCAGGGTAAACGCTGCAGTCATAAATACCACTGGTAAGTATCCTCGGCTATGCAAAACGGGTTAAAAAGGCTAGTGGTGACCCACCAAATTGATTAACAACCCTATCAATGGATTACAATCTCCAGTGTGAAAAACACTGCTACAGGGAAACATAAAAGCATTTGGGACAGGGAAATGTGATACATGAGATGTTTATGGATGGTTTCTCAAGCCACCTCTTTATTAAGGAAAGTGAAGGGAAAATAGCTCAAATGCTACTCAGATAGGCCAGGTAACATGGACCAGGATTGAGATGATAGTAAAGAAAAGGAAAAGATAAGAAAAAAGCCTTTTCATCCTCCCCGGAGGCAGGGAAGACAAGATAGAACAGATAGGTTACAACATGGCCGCTAGATGGTATCATCAGCCCAGGATGGCTTATGGTTGTGCAGCCTGGTTGCTGAGGGGTTAGGAAACACTCTTGTTTACTCTGTGCCATTGGTATTCAGGATCCATTATTAATTCATTGTTACTCACTAATTATATAAATATATCTAATGTCTTTTGTGTGCCAGGAAGCATCCAAAGCATGGGGAATAAAATGGTGAAGACATTAGACATGGCTCCTGCTCTTAGGGTCTTAGGTTCCAGGAGAGCATGAACATTTAACAAGTATTTACAAGCACGAAGGATGTTATTAAAGGGGAAACACAGAGGGGCCTCATCCAGGGTAGATGGGCTTGGAAAGTCTTATCCTTATCATTCTATGGTCTTGTAGGGACAGCAACCTTATAACAAGGAATTTTAAGATTCTGTCAATAACTCATGAGTCACAAATTAGCAAACTGTGCAATAAAATCGAGATATTCGTGTGTGTGTGTGTGTGTGTGTTTGTGTGTGCGAGTGTGTGTTTGGTGGACTTGCAGATGTGCAACAACCAAAGACAAAGCTTTCATAAAGAGAAGGAAACTTTAATAATATTAACAAGTTTGCTAGCTTGGAAGTATAATGTATACAACCTCACCAAGCTATAAACCACAGACACCTGTTGGCTTAAATCTGATAGCTTTGTTCATTCCATAAAATAATTGTCTGTGAGTCATAAAGTGATTGTATATCAGTGGAATGTGTGACTTGCAATCACATACCTCCCACCAGAGACCCAGCCTGATTCAATATTTACAAAAAGTGGAAGTCAGCCTAAGGTAGCATTTAAGTTAATAAATTATTATCATAAACAATAGAGTTCTCAGTAGCCTTCCAATTAACAGCCTTACCAATTGCTCTTCTCAGTTTATGGGCACGCGCCAAGCTTCACTGAGTGCGCACGCGTGTGTGTGTGTGTGTGTGTGTGTGTGTGTGTGTGTGTGTCTACACAAATGTACTCGACTGGCCCTGCATATCGTCTCAGACTATTTAGAGTTGCAGATTTCCCTCCCTTCACACTGACTATCTACCACAAAACCCTGCTGAGCATTCAGAATAAATGTGATGTTCCAAGGGGGGATAACCCATCACTGCCATGACACCACTATCACTTAACTGATGGTCATTTCAAGTAGCTGAGATGATTTACATCAGCACCCAAGTCAGCTACAGCTATAATGAAATGCCTAATCAGCTCACTCAAAGCCTACCAATTTTTCAATCAAATATGACAGCTTTCAAGGACACAGCCCTGACCTGAAGCAGACGAAAAGAATCTCCAGAATTCCTAGCAAATGGGTATCGTTGCTGTGGGACGAGGGACCTTACTTATTTTCTCTCTGTTCTGAACAAGCACAAAAGGGAAGGTGACTCCCATGGGCCCACATACTCTGACAGAGACTTTAATTCCCATCCCTGGAATTCCTCAATTGTGATTGGAAAAAAGAATAAGCATGCAATACAGCCTAGTCATTTCCAGAAGCTTTTAGCTTTCTCAGGCCTCTGGATAATGAAGTGGAGAGAGTAGGGTGGGAGGATACGGAAGTCCCCATATAGACCATTAATTTTCACATATCTTCCTGAGAGCAGAAAGCTGAGAAAGATTCGTGTTGGTGTCAGTGAGAGGCTTAATATAGAGCTGTGGTCAATTAGCAGGAGAAAAAAAAATTTTAGAGTTCATTTCCTACATTAAAATCAATAATGAAAAACCAGCATAGCCAGGTTTAATAAATAAATGGGCTGAACATCATGAGAAAGTATGTCCTCGGAGAATTAAGCCACATGAGGAGATTATTGAGTAACTGAAAGGAAGCTAAAATGCATCTATACCACTGGTTCTCCACCCTAGCTCCTCGTTAGAACCACATGAAGGAAGCTGTTAAGAAATGCTGATTTCAGGGCCTCATTCCCTGAGTCAGATTCAATTTGTCTGGAGTAGAGTTTAAACCAGGACATTTTTATTAAGCTCCCAAGTGAGTCTAAGTGCAGCCAGGGTGAAGAACCACTGATCTAGACCTAATGTTGTTACAGCACTAATCTCCCCAGCAGAAAAGTCCTCTTCCTAGTGTCAGCTGAAAACTCTCTAGTTATTGTTTACACATAGCTAGTCCCCATGTAGACCATGGTGGTGGTGAGGGTGGAAGGAAATTGAACTATTTTATTCTTACTTATTCATATTAATGAAAATAGGCATAATGAGGATAAATTAAGCTCATGGGGAACCCAGAAACTTCATTTAACCAAAGGCCGAAACTGCCTTTCATTCATTTTAAGCCGTAAGTCTAGAATTACTATTCTAGTTTTCCCCTTTCTGTCTATAAACTGGTCACAAAGAAATTATCTGACTTATCTTGTTTGACTGTAGGTCATAAGACTCTTATTCCAGAGGGGTTCTGCCCCATATGCTGGAGGAAGGAATGCTACTCAGAGAGGCCAGGCAGAATCTAAATGGACAGGCCTTGCTGGGTTCCCCCTCAGTCTATTAGCATTGGTCACACCTTTTTGTCCACCCGCATTTCTACATGACTTTTCATCCTTTATTAAACCCAAGCATAAACATGGATGGTTCTCCCCAGGATCACTGGGTCTTCAATTCTGAAGCCTCTTGTGTCATGTAAAACTTCGATTAAATACATTTGTTATGCTTTTCTCTTGTTAACCTGTCTTTTGTCATAGGATTGTTAGTCTTGATCCTCATGATGGGAAGGAAAGAGGTCACCCCTTTCTAACTCTACACAACTCACTTCTTTTTTAAAATTATTTTTTATTTTAATTACGTAGGGTATAATTCAGGGTTAGGTATACAAATGTTCGTTATGCAGGTACCCTTGTCATTGAGGTGTGCCCCCGGCAGTTTCCCACTACTGCCAATCCCTTTTTTATGGTATTACAATAGCACAACTCACTTGTTAACAAAAAATGCCATTCTGTTGTTGGGCAGGCTGAATTTTTGCGAAAGTTTTTCTTCTTGCTGAATTACAATGTCCTGTTTCTCCATATGTCCTACTCATTAATTCTGGTTCTATTTTCTGGGGCAATTTAGCCATTCTCTTGAAGAAACATTTCTTCAGATGTTCAAGGATAGCTGTTATGTTTCTTCTGAGACATCTTTTCTCTAAGTTACATACCTTCAGCTATTTGTAATAGTTTTACATGGTTCCAGAGCCCTCATAATTTTAATTAACTTCTTCTGGTACTCTCAGGAATGTCAATATGCTTTTTAAATATGGTGGCAAGAGCCAAGGATGATACCCAATGGGTTTGACTGGCCCAGAGTGCACTGGGACTTAGACAGTGATTGAGAACAGAGGCTCTGGAGGCATTCAAACCTGAAGTGACTTTCCATCCTAACTGGCTAAGTATACTCAGAGTTGCTGAAACCTTTCTGAGCCTCTTCTCCTCATTTGTAAAATGGAAATCATGACGACTATATCAAAAGGCTGTATTCAGGATTTGATGAAGAATGCCTGAAAACTTTCAATAATAAAGGGTGCATTGAAATGCTTACTTTTATCTCTGTTCAATTTTATCTCTTCTTTTTTGTTTTTGTTTTTTAAAGCTCAGTTTTGTTCCATTCTGCTGTGTTATTCTGAATGTTTATTCTATTAGTCTTGGTGTTAGCCTTTTACTTTCTGCAAATTTTATGCCTGCCTTCTATAAACATCCCTCATTAAAAGCCTAAGAAAGGTAAGGGTTAAGTTTCCAGCCCTCAGACACATCAAAAGAGACGTTTTTTCAGGTGTCACATAACTCTGTTATCCAGTAGAGCTTGTGTAGCGTTGTTCAATGAACCATAAATTTATCTACCCATATCTCAAATGAGCCACATTTCTAGTCCCTGACCATGATGATATAATAAGAAACTGTCCAATTTATTTACTCATTTTTGCCAAGCAGTTTGAACTTAGTTTAATAATTTTTACTTACTTTTCAAATAAATATTTTCCATCATTAACTTGTTCTAATGGATTCTGCAATCTCTTCAATTCTTCCTGTGAAAAAGAAAATATGTATCTTACAAATTGACACTAGGTACTTTTGGACAATATTATTTGAGGACAGCTGTTAGCAAAATTGAGATACACCATTAAGAATTCTGGAGTTTGTGATGATTAAGTGCTTAAACATGCAACAATACAATTTGACCCTTGATCAAAATAGAATATAATACTGCCTCTCAAATTATGTGACTTTATTTTAATCACTAAAGATAATACTTCCTATTATTTTTCCAAAGTCTAGATATGTTTTTATGAATCTACCCACACTTTTGCCAAACTTACTCTGTCAACAGTATGTCTTTGCTGGTTGCTGGGTGAGAGACTTTAATGAATGTGTCCTGGGTTTCGTCACTCAACAACCATCTCTTTCATCTCTTGGAAACTCTTGGGCACCTCTTCCCCATAGTCCAACTGCTCAGACACACACACACACTCCCTCCTCTAAACAATAGGCACCTGTAACCTCTGCAGTCCCATTTCTCTGGTCATAGGGGTGTGATGGGCATTGGCCAGGTTCCTGGGAGACTACCTGTCCTCGGTCATGGCAGGATTTAAGGAAGGCTCCCAGAATTCTGTTCCCAGAAAACCACCAGTTTCTGAGACCACACCACTTCCCCCGACCCTCAGCCAGAAACTGCTAAGGTGACCAATGCCAAGAAGAAGCCACAATTAGAACTAAATCATTCATTTGCCTCTAAAAGAGCATCAGGACATGTCCCAACATCCTTATAAACCAGCAGACATCCAGGTCTCCTAGATCATTCCCCATTACACAATTTTTTTTTTTTTTGAGTTGGAGTCTCACTCTGTCACCCAGACTGGAGTGCAGTGGCCGCTCCCGGCCACCGCAGCCTCGCTTGCTGGGCTCCGGCGATCCTTCCACCTCAGCCTTCCGAGTAGCCGGAATTACAGGCGCGCGCTACCATGCCCGGCTAATTTTTTTGATTTATTGTAGAGATGAGGTCTCGCTGCCCAGGCGGCTCTCGAACTTGCAGGCTTAGGCAATCCACTCACCTCAGCCTCCCAAAGGTGCGGGATTACAGGCTGAGCCACTGAGCCCGGCTTACACAATCTTTTTAACCTCATACCGCATTGTACATTGCAGAATTTGACCCAACCACCCACCTCTCCTCAGTCCCTCCAACCTTTCCATTGGGTCCTTTGCAACTTACAGTCTGTCATCAGCAAAATCCTGTATCTCTTTGTTATCTATGAATATGTCTTTAAATATTTTGTTCTAACTAAGCCATGGCTCACTGTTTTGAAACAGTTGTTTTTATTAGTGCAAGATGATCAAAGAACAGTTAGAAAAAAGTTTAGCATATGAAGGATTTTGCTGGTGATGTACTCAACTGACTCCTTGAGCACACCTCTCCTGCAGTCCTCCTTGCTTCTCATGGCTGCTTCTGGATCTTCCCCACTCTTAGAAGACCTTAATTCCTCTGTAAACACGTCCCCTGCCTCCCCCAGGCCTCTGTCCTCTTCTCTTCACCATCTATCCTCACTCCTTAGAGCATCTCATCCAGTCTCACAGCTTTAAATTTATATTTGTAACTCACTTATCCTCTAAATTCCACTCTTCTGTATCCCCCTGTCACTGACTAATTCCATGTGTGTGTCTGACAAGCATTTCAACTTCAAAATCAAAGTGTTGGTGTTTCTGCTTATTCCTTCCTACCCAAACATCCTTCTTCACCACTTCCTCATTTTAGCAAATGGCATCACTATTTACCAGCCTGTGCAGAGACACAACCTAGGAGTCAGACTTCACTCATTTCTTCCTCTCACCAACTATAGTCAGTCAATCAGCTAATCTTATTGGCCTTGCTTTCAAAATACATCTAGAACTTGACACAGCTTCTCATTCTGGTCTAAGTCAACCATGATAACGTACTAATGGTCTTCGTGCTTCCCATGTTCAACTACTTCAGTTTCTTCTTGCATCAGCCAAAGTGATCTTGTTGTACCTGGGCTTTCTTTCTTAATTGGAATACAAAGCACACAATGCACATATCCTATACATTGATAGAACCACAACCAAAGCAATATACAGAACATATATCTTACTCCAGAAAGTTTATCTGTGCTCCTTCACAATCAGTTCCCCTCTCTCAAAAGCATCCCTGTTTGAATTTCTATCCTTATAGCTTAGTTTTTTCTGTCTTTGAATTTCATATTGTGTCTGGCTTAACTTACTCAATGTTATATTTTGACCTTTGTCCATGCCATTGCATGTGTCAGTAGCTCATTTCTTCTTGTTGCTAAGTGGTGTTCCGTTGTGTACATACACTGCAACGTATCAATTCATTCTCCTGTTGATGGACATTGGAATTGTTTTCACACATTGCTTAGTATGAATAAAGCTGCTGAGAACACTCTTGCTGCAAGTCTCTTTGTGGATGTGTTTTCATTTTTCTTTAGTAAATATCTAGGAGTAAAATTGCTATCTCACAAAGTAGATGCATGTTTAGCTATTTAAGGATTTCCCTAACTGTTTTCTAATTCATAGTCCAACCAGTAATATATGAGAAATCTTGTTCTTATATATCCTCACCATTTGGTGTCAGTCTTTTTAGTTTTAATCATTGGAGTAGATGTGTGGTATCTTGTGATTTCAATTTGTATTTCTCTCGTAATTTAATTTGCAATGTTGAATATTTTTGCATTTGTTTTTAACGGGGTTCCATGTCTTTTATTTAGAGTATTGTTTTTACTATATTTTGGGGTACAGGCCTTTGTCAGATATAAGTATTGCTAAAATTTTTTCCCAGTCAAGATCTTTTGACAAGCAGAAATTCTTCATTGTGTTTTGTTTTATTTTATTTTTATTATTTTTTATTTTCTGTGTCCCAAAATATTGCCCACCACAATATTGTAAAGATAGTCTCCTATATTTTTGTCTAGAATTGTATGGTTTATTTACATTTAGGATTATGATCTGCTGACTTCTGTGTATAGTGTGTGATGGGTACTGGGATCCATTTTTCTTCTTATGAACATGAGCATAAGTCTACTGAATGGGACTTCTGAATAAAGTCTTGTTTTCCTGATACAAAGGAACAAATCCAGCTGACGTGGCTTTTGACCTTTGCTTTTTCTCCTCTTCTTCCTGCCTGTACTAGAGACACTGTCCCTCCAAAAGAAATTATTGTTTGGATGGTGGGCCCCTTGTAGTACAGGCTTCCCTTGCTAGGTAAGTGTTCTAGGAACCCACTGGCATCAGCTAACATTGTTGTTTGGCTGTGTTTTACTTCAGTGAATTTTTTTTTTTCAGATTCTTTCAATGCGTTTGCCCATTTCATGAGTGACTTACGAGCATACTGGCCCACACTGCACTGAGTGTTCAGCAGTTTTTGACCACAAATGGCATGACCCTGCGCCCCACCCTCTCTATTCACCTGATCTTGCCCCAGTCAACTTTTTGTTTGTTTGTCTGTTTGTTTCCCGGAAGAAACAAATCCTCAGAAGGAAACATTTTGCTGATGTGGAAGAAGTGAAACAAAAAATGGCAGAAGTGCTAAAAAGCATCAAAGTTGAAGAGTTCAAAAATTGTTTTGAGCAGTGGAAAAATCATCTTGATAGGTGTATTGCATCAAACGGAGAGTACGTTGAAGGTGACTGAGGTTTAAACCTTTAAGAATAAAAACACAACTTTTTAATAAATAAATGCTGTGTTTTTGGAGTCTCCCCTTTATAATAGAGTAATGAGATCCAGAGTGCAGAAGCCATGTGCCTATAAGGAGAAAAGCATTAAGGATGATGAAATAGAAAGCTAGACAGTACCTGGGACCCTGTTGAGACTGCAGAGCTGCTGCATCTACTCTGACCTACCAACATCAGGACATACTATCTTGTAAGAAAACCAATCGGATACCTGCATAATCAACGTTTGTATGCCTAACCCTGAATTGTGCCTCACATCTTTATAATTTAAAAAAAGAAAAAAAAAAGGAAACCAATCTACTAATTTATTGTTCCATTATAGTTGGACAAATATAGGTAAGGTATACATCCCTGTTTATAATTCCCCAATGGTTTCCTATCATTTTCGGAATAAAATTCAAACTTACCACCATGGTCTACAAAGCCCTATGTGATATAACCCCCAACTATCTCTCTGACCTCATCTCCTACCACTCCCCATACATACAACTCTCTCCTTTCCAGCCATATTGGTTTTGTGAGACTTCAGAAACAAGATGCTTGCTCCCTCCTAGATCCTATATCTCCCTACACAGAATACTCATTTCCCACATCTACTCATGGTTTGCTCTCCCTAATTTCATCCAGGTGTCTGCTCAAATGTTGCCTTCTTAGAGATGCCCACCTTGACTGAACTCTATGACTTGCTCTATATTTACCATGCTTTAAGTGTTTATTTACTTCTTTATTATCCTTCCTTACCCCTTCTAATATGTTATTATTTTTTTCGCTCCAGTAGATTTGAAGCTCCATGGAAGGAGGATTTTGCCATATCCACTACAATATTTTCAGAGCCTAGAATAGTGCCCCACACATAGTAGTTGCTCAACCAATGTTAAATGTTTTGGGATTTGGAGAAAAACTTTGGTTTATACCTCTGGATTTTAGAGCGTGAGGATTTTGAAGTGTGACGAATCCTGGAACTGTGATAGAAGTATCTGCTACTGTAACAGGTACTAACTGAAGGAATAAAACAATACAGAAAGAGGATGGAACCAAAGAAAAACAGTCACGGGGCCAGAGCTGTGAACTTCTGGGTCAAACTGGAGCTTGAAACCAGCATATTGATAGACTTTTCAATTTTGTCAATAAATTCTCTCATTTGCTTACATCATTTTTAGCTCAGGTTTCTGTTTTTGCTTTTGTTTTTACAATTGAAAGAATCTTAACTGAGAAGTGACACTATGAGTCATAACCTAGGGCTACTGAATACAACATTCTAAGATGAGCCATAGAATTATAAAAGGTAAGACCGGACAATTGTTTGCTTGCTTTGTTTTGGTCACATC